AAACAAGGTCAAACAACCTCTATACAACGAAAGGAGACTGCGACCACACAAAAGCCCACACCATCTTGGTATTCATACCATACTCACTTATGCCATCATTAAAAATTTTAATTATCCTCTGATACATTTTCTTGTAATAACCCTAATTAGAAAATAAGCCCAGATAAATCATAAAGCTTTCCGTTAGTAGATAATACAATTAAACTCTGCCTAATTTGCTATAGCTAGCTAACTTTAAAATGTATTTCCTAGTTCAACTGACTTATCACAATTTTCAGTTTTTAGCACAGGGTTTCGGATAATTTTTGATGAATAGATTGAGAATTTAATATGAGGCAAAGTTGTCAAAAGCTTAATACTGATTATACATAGTAATCTATTTTACATAATCTTTTGACCACTCGCATCGGTTCTTCTGGAACTTTCTGAATACCCATAATTAACAGGGCAGAATCTAGTCTTTCTTTTCACTTTGCAGGGATTAATCCAATTGCCAAGCTTTCGTAACAGATTAGTTTTATATCCTCGAAGCCCAGTGTTCAGTGCGAAATTCACAACATAAGCAAGTAAAATCAGGTAAAAACAAATTTTTTTTCCCAAACTGAACTGACAACTAAATAGCTACTCCAATCAAATAATGATGGCAACATCCGATATAATATATTAAATAAACAGAAGAAGTTCACAAGAAATGATAATTTACTGCCATGATACACAATCTATTTTATATTTTTACTTAGAATATCCCTAATTTATATAGTTCTCTGTCACGAATAAAAGGAGTTTTCTTTGAATCTCTTTATTAAAAATTATTAAGGTCGCTTAAAATTCGATTTAAACTTTTTGATTTAGATATTCATATGTTGTTCTCACCAGCCATCACTTTACTGCTATTATAAGCCCCGATTGACACAGTCTTTAATAAAATTCACCTCGGTTCCAGTGAAACGTGCTAGGCTTCTTTCTCTACCACCCATTGTAAAACTGCTGAATATATATATTTTTTTATAAGTTTTAAATAAGTTCATTAAATTTATATCTTATGCAAATCGATGAATAATATGCGTTTGTGTATCTAGAGGTATTTATATTAATTCTTACTCTTTAAATGGTTATGTGCGCGACTAACTAAAACAAAATTTTAATGGCACCTGTAAGCAATCGGTATTGTCATCCCCGAGAAGTTCAAATAGTGGGAGAAAATTCAAAAAGCGATTATTAAAAAGTGATTTCCGAACTTTCCTCGAGTCACTTAGGCTCAGGCCGATATAGCTATGTATCTAGCCCTAGTTTTATCTTATTATTTCGTTGTGTAGTCGTCCTTGCAACTCTGAGCTAGACGCCCACTAAGTTATCAGCCCTTTTGAGGGAACTGATTGAGGACGCG